CGAACTCACGGAGTGTGAGATCATGACCTGAGCCGAAGTCGGCCGCTTAACCGACTGAGCCACCCAAGTGCCCCGGAGGTGTTACCCTTTTTGCAGATGGGAAGCTTGAGGGTCAGAGAATCGAAGGACTTGCCTCAGGCACACAACTGCAGCACCCAGGTAAGTCACCGGTCACCTGCCCGAAGGCCGAGGGCTCTTTGCCCTCCCATCTCGGGGAGGAGAAAGCATGAAATCTGGACTGAGGGTGGAAAGGCAAGGCAGGACTCCCAGGGAACAGCATGGGCAAAGGTCGCAGGTGGAAAATGCCTAGAGGGCAGTGGGACCGGGCGTCACGAGGCACTGGAGGAGTGGGGAGGGTGCACTCGGGGCGGGTTCAGCGGTACACGGCCACGGCCAGCTTGGCCCGTCTTCCGCACGCCAGCCACTTGCACGAAGCCACGAGGCTGGATCTCAGTCCCCGGATGAGGGGCGGAGCCGAGACTCTGGCGGAGGAGCACGCGCTCCGCACGTGCCCTGTAGCCCACGCCGTGGGAACCTGCGGCCACGCTCGCGACTCGTGGAACCGCCCATGCGCGCCCCGGGCTCCGCGAGTTCTGACGTCCCCGCACCCTACCCGCCTGGGTCGTTAGCCCTCGCGGGAGGTCCCCTCCAGGTTCAAACCGGACCAGGCGGAGGACCTGAGGAAGACAGACGCCCGGAGGACGGGTCCCAGAGGCCAGGAGCACTGACCACCGGTTCTTTGGGGGGAAGAGGAGGGAGGCTCTGATGTCCCTAACTGGACAGGGATGGGGGTGGGTAGCCAGGGAGCAGAGGGTGGGAGTGAGGAGCACGCAGATGAACAGATGAACCCAGCCACGGGGCAGGGACACTAAAGGTAGGGATATTGTGGGTTGAGCTGTTTGAGATCTCCTTTGGAGAGAGGTGGGGGGGCAGGTGGTCTTGGTTATGAGCATGCGCCTGGAATTAGCCCCTCCTCCATCCGTGGCCCCTCTGCAGACACTGACCAGCTATGGGCTTTGGGCCGGGCACGGAGCCCCTTTAAGTTCCAGTTTCCTCATCTCTAGTTCTTAGGGTTAAATGACAGGGTGTCTCCTAAAGCTGCATGATGTTTACCACGGTCAGTCCCTCGTTTTACACGGTGTAGAAGCCCCTGTTATGTGCCCAGCACTATTGCGTGTGCTGCAAATACTGCAGGGGAAAAAAAAAATAACAGTGGCTCATAGACCCCTGGAGGGATAGGAGCAAACAATACTTTCTTTAGTCTGTTAGGTGGTGGCAAGTCATGGAGAAAAACCACGAAGGGTAAAGAGAGGACAGAGTGGAGAGGGTGCTAAAGTCTGGGAGAACAGTCATGGAAGGGCTCACTGCTGCGTTTGAGGCAGGCCTTGAAGGAGAGAGGGAGAGACAGTTCTAGGCAGCGGGGACAGCAAGTGCAAAGGCCCTGGGGCGGCAACATGCACAGCATTTTTGAAGGACAGCAAGGAGGCTGGTGTGTTTGTTGCAGAGAGAGCAAGGGGGTCTAGGGGTGAGGTCGATAAGGTAACTGAGGGCCAGATGATGCAGGACAGGGATCAGAAAACTTTTGTAAAGGCCTAAGAGTAAATGCTTTAGGCTTTGAGGCCCATAAGGTCTCTGTTGCAACTACTCTGCCATTGTATCAAGAAAGCAGCCAGAGACAAGCCATTAAACCACTAGATGTGGCTGTGTTCCAAGACAACTTTACTTACGTAACAGGCACCCTGCTGTGGGGCCTTGAAGGCAAGAGCTGAGCAAAGGAGGAACCAGCAGAGGTGACTGGGAAGGAGCTGGCAGGCCGGAGGGAGGAAAGGAAACCCAGTCAAAGGCCAAACTCAGCATATTGAGTAAAAGCAGGAAGCCTGAGTAATTGGAAGGCTCTCAACCTGCAAGGCAGGAAACTCAGGGCTCAGGAGGCAAGGAGTTCCGATTGCTCGTAAAGGGTTTTTATGGGATAAATACAGCAGTGATCTGGCTTTTAGAGCTGGTTGGGTGTCTAGTGGTCATTTTTATTTGGATCAGGGTGGCTAAGTCAGGGGGACAGGGACGTCCAGAGAGACTTGAACAGGCATGAACAGACTTGGTGGTTGGGGGATTGGCTGGTGACCTCTGCTGATTTCTGAGAAGAGCTGTGAGTTCCTGTAAGGTTAGGTTAAGTGTCCTTTATGCACCTGCGTTGACCTGTCTCCATCCTGTTCTTGATATAAGTGACTCCCTTTGCGTGTGGTTCGATACCCAGGGAGGGAGCATCCTGGAGTCAGGGAAGCAAGGGGTCCCAGGAAGATGAGCGAGTGACCACTGTCCTGCTGTTGCTGCTGCCTTAAGAGAAGCCAGGGCCGGCCAGGGGTGTGATGTCTCGGGGATCACCTGGAGGAAAGCAGCCTCGGGCAGGTGGGGGTGGGGTGCCGATTGCAGCGAGGCCAGCAGTTGGAGATGGGAGAGAAATAGGGGGACTTGGGAGAGATGACCTGGGACCTGAGGCTCAAGAAGGGTGGGGGTGGGGGTGGGGGTTTTGCTTTCTGTTTTTAATTTTTTTTAATTTTGTTTTTTAACATTTATTTCATTTTGAGAGAGAGGCAGAGCGCGAGTGGGGAAGGGGCACAGAGAGAGGGGGACAGAGTATCTGAAGCAGGCTCCAGGCTCCGAGCTGTCAGCACAGAGCCTGATGCGGGGCTCGAACTCATGGACCATGAGATATCATGACCTGAGCCGAAGTTGGATGCTTAACCGACTGAGCCACCCAGGCGCCCCTGCTTTCTGTTTTATAAAGTTGGAAGAAATAACTGCCTGCTTAAGTGCTCATGGGAATGACCTTGTAAAAAAGGGGGAAGTACTGATGGGGGAGTGGTTTCTGGAAGCAAGGACATGGCCCTGACCCACCATAGCCTGTGTCCCACCCCCCAAGCTCTGTGTCCAGGTTCGGGCCTGAGTCTGCCGTGGGGCTGTGGGGGTCATGGGTGCCTGTCTTGATGCCCAGAATGGCACCTCAGAGGCCAGTGGTGGCTCTGGGTGCTTTCCTTGGGGAGATGAGATGGGATGGCCCCCAGAGTGCAGGGGAAGGTCAGCCTGGGAACAGGACCGCACGGGATGGAGCGGGGAGTTGGGGGGAGGGCAGGTGGGGGGAGGCTGTGTCCTGGAAGCTGGCCAGGAAGGAACACGGAGGCATTTCTGTTCTGTTGCCCTATTTTGTGAGTGCAACAGAAAGTAAGGTCTGCTGGGGGGGGGAGGGGAGGGGAGAAGAGGTGGCAGGGGTTTGAGGACAGAGGGGAAAGTGTGAATTGGCATCTAGGAGGGAGGGGGGAGGGAACTAGTCTCATTCTCCAGCAGCCTTTGCACCCACGTGGGACCAAAGGCAGTCATTTGGAGCGAGGCTGTCGGTGCAGCAGCAGGGTGAAAACCAGTCATCAGTGTTGTGCAGAGGGAGGAGGGGCGCGGCCCAGGGGCGAGGTGTGCGAACGGGTGTTTTTACGTGGAGGGAAGGGAGAGACAGCAAGCAGCAAGGGACAGTCAGAGGTGGTGGGGCCAGAGGATGGGGCCTGATGGGGGAAAGACCACCGGCATGGGGCACTAGAAGGTGGGGGTGGGGTCCAGAACTGGAGCAGGTACAGTTATTTAGGATGCTAGAGCCTGGGGGCACCATGGCAGTGGATGGCTGAGGTGGGACAAAGGGCAAGATGGCAGGAAAGGAAGAGGTCAAGGACTCCGCAGGCCAGGAGTGAGAGGCATCAGCCATGTGGACGGTGAGCTCGCCAAGGACTGAGGCGTGTGTTGGTGACTGCCACAGTGAGCCAGAGCTGAAACCTTCAAGGAACGAGGGGACGGGGCCTGGACTGTTTTCAGTTCCATTCAGCTTTGGGCTGCAGTGTTCTGGGGTCGGTGGGGAGAAGGAAGGAAGTGGTCTGAGAGAGCCCCCCAGCCCCTGCCAGGAGGGCTGTCTGGGAATCAGGGGCCACAGAGAGGTCTGGGGTCAGTGTTAGAAGGAGGGGGCACTGGAGGACATTCGAAAATCATCAAGGGAAGGTGGAGGTATGGGGGCCTGACCAGGACAGCTGGGGCTGGGCCCCAGGGCAAGCAGAGGTGCTGACGAAGGGTATGGTGTGGACCAGGGCTGGGGTGTGGCCCGGTGGGAGCTGGGCATCCTGTCCTTGCCCTTCAGGACCTATCCGATCAAACAGGCCAGACCGCTGGCCTTAGTGTGGACCAAGGACGCCTCCGCCTTGGCTTTGCCCTCGAATCCATGGAGCTGAGACACGACGCCAGCCGCAAGGAGAACGTGCCCCTCAGGCCTGCGACGCCCCTGAGGCCAGGCAAGAGGCTTGGTGGGTCTGGGTTGGATGTGGCAGGAACAGGGTCCCCTCTCGCTATTGGCCCAGAGCTTCTTTTCCGCCAGACCAGCCCAGGGCCTCGCTAATTCCAGAGGTTGACCGTACAGGGCCAGCTGGGCCGGGACGAAGTCTTCCTAGCCTGGGACGGAGGGAGAGTCAGGATGTCAGGAAGTGAGGCCAGGAAGAGGAGGACTAGGAGTGGGCCTGGCTCCCCCCCCCCCGCCCCCGCCGCCCCCTGCTAAGGCGCTTGGCTACAGAGCCAAGGCTGGAAGCCGCCCCCAGACAAATTCAGATTCTGATGCACGTGCCAGTTTCTCCAAGTCCTAGCTGCGTGACTGTGGGGCAAGTTGCCAAACCTCTCTGGGCTTTAGTTCCTGTCTTCAAACGCACACCTCCTATGGCCCAGTATAGCTGCTAGGTCCCCAGGCGTTTCCTGGTCTCCAGCTGACGAATGGCCCCCGGAGCTGGGGAGACTAAGCCCCACCCTGAGTCACCCAGAGCAGCTCTCCTGCAGCTGTTTGCTGTGTGGGTCTTGGCCCTGACCCCCAGCGCTGCTTCCCCATCACCCCTGCCCAAGCCAGGAATCAGTCATCCTTGATTCTTCTCTTTCCTTCACGGCCCCCAGCCCCCCAGCCCCGAGCCTCCACGGCAGATCCGCTTCCGCGTCCTTCTCTCCCCCATCCCTGAACCCAGCCCTGCCCTCTCTCACCTAGGATGCCCTCAACAGCCTCTTTACTGTCCCCCTGCTTCCCTCTGCCCTCCTCCCCCCTCGCACCCCAGCCCTGCTCCCTGCAGCCAGGCACCGAGTCAGACCACCCCTCAGTCCTGTCCCCCTCCTGCCTGGCATCCTGTCTCTGACCCGCTCCCCCCAACCCACCCGAGCACTGACCACCGCGTCCGCCCTCGGCTCACGACTCTGTCCTCTCTTAAGAGCGACGGAGATTTCCGAAGAGCAGAGGTGTCGGCCGGGGCAGCGGACATGGCCGGTGGGTGCGCGAGTGCCCGGCTGAGAGGGAAGGGCCTGCCACCATACGCTCCCCGGGGGCAGAGCGGCGCCAGGAGCCCTGCCGGGTCCAGACCAACCTGGCCGGCGCAAGCCTCGTCCTGAAGGACGCAACTGGCCGGCTGGTGAACTCAGGCTTGCAACAGCAGAGCAACCTGCAGACCCCGGCCAGCAGGCCCCAGGGGAGAGCCCGAGAGCTTGTCGTCCAGCAGAGTAACCTGAGCATAAGGGGGACCAGCTTGGCCGAAGGCAGGAGTCACCTCAGCCCCCGCCTCCGGTCAGAGCTTCAGGGCAGCTTCTGGCCCCACCCGATACCCCAGGGAAGCCCTCTATCCCGAGCGTCACTGGCTAACCCACCCTCCAGCCTGAGACAGTCCCGGTGGCTGGGCACAGACACCCCCTGCCCAGACGTCCAGCCTGCTGCAGGCTTCGCCTCTCTCAGTGGACACACACTTCCAGGCTCCGGACCCTGGTGTGTCCTGGGGAACTGGCCCCCTAGGCTCATGGGGGAGCCCCTCACCCTGGAGGACCTGACTGTCCCGGTCCAGAGCCAGGCTCGGGCCCCATCCCAGACTGCCATCCACCAGCTGCTGGCCTCTGTGCGACACCTGGAGCACGAGGTAGCCCGTCTCGGGTGCCGGGCCTCCCAGGAACCCCCAGGCCCTGCTCACCAGGACCCCTGGACCACCAGTGGCCGGGCCCTCCCTGCTCACCGCCAGCCCGGCCAGCCTGTTCTTGCTTCCTGGGAGGGGAGGGAGAAACCCGTGCGAGGCCTCAGGGAAACTGCGGATTTCCCAGGGACACAGGGGGCCCAGGCTGGCCTCTCGGACGGTCGGGCAAGCAGTAAGCCTGCGTCACCGGAGGCCACGCTGAGGATGCCGACGGGGGATTTCCTCGACCCTAAGCAGGGGGCCCTTCTGGCCAACCCCGCGAGGCAAGGAGAGAACTTCTCCCCGGGGCCTACATATGGCAGCAGGCCGAAGAGGGACCCCCGGCTCCCTCCAGGGGTGGGTAACAGGGAAGCCAGACCCTGCTCTGCAGCTTGCTCCAGTGCTGCCCGGGGCGGCCCACCTGGGCAGGAAGGAAGGGAGGTGGCCCTGCAGGAGCTGGTCGACAAGGAGGAGGAGAGGACGGCTTCCTGCCCACCAGATGCAGCCCCAGCAAGGAGCGCCCTGCAGGTAGAGGCCAGAGGAGGCCGGGCGGGCGGGGGAGCCGGGAGACCTCAGGAGTGCTCCCAGGAATTCCCTCTGCCAGCTGGCCGCCGCTCCCCTGTTACGCTCCCCGCCCCCAGGAAGGGAGGCCGGGGACAGGCAGGCTTGGTGTCCCGCCCTGCTTGCTCTTCAGCCTGAGAACCTCGTCCTGTTCTTTTGCTTTCCAAGAACAAAGCCCGAAACGTTGGGAGCCTGGAGTCCGGGACGGCCCGGTGAGGCCATGGGCTGTGGGGGTGCGGAGGGGGGTGGACAGCTGCTCTCCAAGTTGCCTGGGACAGTGGAGACGAGCACCTGGTGGAGGGCAGGCCCTGGACGGGGGCAGATCCACACAGGACTTAAGGGGGGAGGGGACTTCCTTCACCCTGTCCCTGCTGGGGGGTGTTTCAGATGTTTCAGAGCCTGGTGGCATCGGGTGCGGAAGCGGCGGGCCGTGGCTGCGGCGGTGGCCCTGGGCCGCCGGCGGCTGTTGCGCAGGGGCCTGCGGGCGCTTCGGTGGGCACTGCGGCTCCGGGAGGCCCAGCTGGAGGTGGCATGGAAGCGACACACTCAGGCCCTGCTGGCTCAGAGCTTCCGAAAGGTCCGGGGCCTCCAGGTTGGGCCGTGGGGAGGTGACGAGAGGCTGGTATGTCTGGGGAGGAGGCCACCTGTTTTATACCTCCTGAGTGATCAGCAGTACAGCGGATGGTGGCCCACCCAGACACGTGACCCAGCTCTGCCCGAGTTCAAATCCAGCCTCCGCTACTTTCTTTTTTCCACAAATTTTTTGCTGCATGGCTTTGGGCAGGTTACTTAACCTCTCTGTGCCTTCGTGTCTTTAGCTCCGAAATGGGATAACAATAGTAGTACATACCTCTCGGGATTGTTGTGAGGTTAAATTAATAAATACAAAGGACTTAGGACCCTACTTAGCACATAGCAAGCACTCTGCCAGATGAGTAGCTGCTATGTTTTTCTAACCGTTAGCCAGCCAGGACTGGGAGGGCACGTCTGTGGTCTTCCCTCCTCGGGAAAGGAGTGCTCTGGGAGGGCCTAGCTCCAGGTTTTGCCCCCCAAGGAAAGCTATGCATTTCTCCATGCGTTCATTAATTCCCAAGGTAGTCTATAGGTTAAGACCGGAGACTTTGGAGTCTCACAGAAATGTCCCACTCCTGTCCACCATTGGGGCACATTTGAGGCTATGGCCCACATCCTTCTTTCCCTTCTCTCTTGCCCCAGTGGAGAAACCAGACTCTGCAGCAGAAGCAAGGGCAGCCCCGCATCCAGGCTGGGCTGGGACCCCCACCGTCTGGGACGGGCCAAGGCCAGAGCCCCTCAGGAAGGGAGCCAGGGGCAGACCCTGCCTGGAGAAGCAGGTAGTCTGGGACACCCCAGTGGTCAGTGGGTCAGTGTGGCCTGGGCGGTGCTGGTGGCCTTCCCTCCCCCCGCTTCCTGCCTCAGTGTCCCCTTCTCGACTCCCCCACAAGAGAATGAGGATGACACCAGCAGATGTGGACAAAGATCTCTGCTCAAGTATGTCCGCTGCAGCATTATTTAGACTAGTAAAAACCTCAAAACAGCCTGAATGCCCGACAGCGATTGAGAAAATTACGGTTTAACAACGTGATGAGCATTTGGCAACCGTTCCGTGTGACGTTTGTCAAGACTTTAAAATTTTCTCCCCGTTCTTTTTTGGTAAATTTTTCGTATCTAGTGTCTTTTATTGGTGTTACTTCTAATTATAACAGTCATGCGTGCTTGCTTTGAAGAACATTCCAAATGGTTGAAAGTTTCATCCCTCTCCCCATGTAACCCCCTTCCTAGAAGTAGTTTCACGGGTATTTGCATGGAATTTTTGCTGACAAGGAAAAATGGTTATGATGACGTTAAATGGGGGGGGGGAGAATGAAAATAGTGTGTAAGATATGTTTTCTGCACGTGAAACAGTACAGAAGGAAAAATCTGTTGCTCAATGAGTTAGCACTATGGAACTGCTCACTCAGAGATGGTTAAGGTGGTTAAGTTTTATGTTTGGTGTATTTTACTGCTGTTAAGAATGAACATAAGTAAATATTTCACACACCCCCCCCCCCCAAAACATGCTAAGATAAGCAGGTCGTGCTTATCTCTGGAGCGGTGGAATTCAAGTTGACTCTTTTCTTCTCTCTTCCCTCAATCTTCCACCATAGGGGTGTACTGGTTTGTTTTTTTTTTTTCTCGTTTGCAAATTAACTAGGTGTGCTTGACATCATTATCCCAATAACATTTGTTTTATTTTATTTATTTAATGTTTATTTTTAAGAGAGAGAGACAGAGTGTGAACAGGGGAGGGGCAGAGAGAGAGAGAGGGAGACACAGGATCCGAAGCAAGCTCCAGCTCCGAGCCATCAGCACAGAGCCCGACGCGGGGCTCGAACCCCTCAACTAAGCCACCCAGGCGCCCCACTGATAACATTTATTTTAACACACGTTTGTTGCAAGAGCCCAAATAGCACTGAAGAGAAGGGAGCAGAAACAGAACCTCCCTGCAGACTGCTTAGATAATCGGGGTGAAATGAGAAGGGGGTGGGGGAGGGCCAGCTCAGCGCATCCTCAGCGTGGCCGGGTTGGGACTGTGCGCTCTCCCTCTGATGCCTGGGCATCGGTTTCCCTCTGGGCAACTTTACTCTCAGTCCAGGGAGTCAGAGGGAGGAGGCAGGAGCCTGGCCGGGACCAGATGGAGGCGATGGAGAAGTACAGATGCTTCAGGCCTTGCAGCAACTGGCTGGTGAGCCATGGGCCTGCGGGGGAAGCAGGGGAGAGGGAGCTGAGCCCCCACACTGGGCAGGGCAGGGGGTCCTGAGCGAAGGTTTGCTGAGCATCTACTCAGACGGCTTTTTGGACATGATCTCATGTGAGCCTTGGGGGACCCGGGTGAGGCACTGTGCCTAGTTTACGGATGGGGAACTGAGGCACAGAGAAGTTAAGTGGCCAGCTGGAGGACACGCAGTATGAGAGGCGCACGTCCTGCATTGGTGCCACCGATGCTAGTTCGGGTCCAGCCCAGGCTTGCATGGTAGAACCAGAAAGTCCCTCAGACATCCCTCACTCACAGGGAACCTGAGGTCCAGAGATGGGGAGCAACATGGCCGCCTCCTGTCCCTGAGTCTCCCCACTCACTCACTCTCTCTTCTTGCTCTCCTCGCTTTCCAGGCTTCCTCTTATGGTGCCATCAGAAGGAATGGGCCAGGCAGGAGAGGAGGGTCCAGGGAGAGGCCTCCCGGGCCACGCTGAGGACTCAGAGGAAGGGGAGACCCCCCCAGGCCTGGTGCTCTCATGCTGCAGACGCACCCAAGATGGCCTCTCTGGACACCCAGCAGCAGAGAGCCTGGCTCGGCAGGTAGGGAGAAGGAGAAGAAATGTGGAGTGGGGACCCCTCTCCTGGAGGCAGAGGCTGGGACGCAGCTGGGAGGTACCCTTTGAGTCTGTTCTTGACTCCTGGTATCCAGAAACAGTGATAAAAATAAGAAATGAAAACAGCTGCGGTTTGCTGAGAGCCGAAGGCACCTCCCCGGAACTCTGGGATTTGGTCCAAAGCAAAGCTCAGTGGTGGTCTTGCCCCCCGCCACCCTGGTGGAACCATGGCAGTCACAGAGGGTGTGCTGCAGTGCCGCTGAGTTCAGTGTTGTGAAAGGAAGGAACACAGATCTGTAAGAGGGGTTTTCTCTGGTTGACCTTTTATTATGGGACATCCTTTAATATATTGATCTTATATCTAGCAACCTTGCAGAATTTTATTTGTTTTAGAAAGTTATCTATACACTGTTTTGTGTTTTCTACACAGGCAGTCATATTATCTGCAAACAATTTCAGTTTATTTCTTTTTAATCCTTTTATCTTTTATTTATCTCATTTTACTCCACTAAAGACACTTAATTGATGCAGATTAGAAATGGCACAGTTCCCTTTTTCCTGAGTAAATAAGTGTTCCTAACTCCAAAGAAAATTCTTCAGCATGTACCATATGTACAGTATCATACGTATTCTTACCACTTTTAAAATTTATTTTTTATATTTTAGTTAACATGAAGTGCAATATTGGTTTCAGAAGTAGAATTCAATGATTCATCACTTACATACAACACCCAGTGCTCATGACAAGTGACCTACTTAATACAGACACCTAGGCCATCTCCCACTCAACCTCCCTCCATCAACCCTTAGTTTGTTCTCTATCATTGAGTCTTCTGTGGGTCATATCCTTATCACTTTGCTAAAAGGTTTTTATCATAAATTACACTGAATTTTATCAAACTGTCTTTTTCTACGTCTACTGATACTTTTTTTTACATCTCATACAAAAGTAGAGAGAGAGGGTGTCTGGGTGGCTCAGTTGGTTGAGTGTCTGGCTCAAGGCCATGATCTCGTGACTTGTGAGTTCGAGCCCCCGCGTTGGACTCTGTGCTGACAGCTCAGAGCCTGGAGCCTGCTTCGGATCCTGTGTCTCCCTCTCTCTCTGCCCCTCCCCTGCTCATGCTCTGTCTCTCTCTGTCTCAAAAATAAAAAAATAAATTTTTAAATAAAATTTAAAAATTAGAATAGATACTAAACCCCAGGGTCCCCATCACCCAGCTTCAAGAAAATCACCCCCTAAAAAATTCATTTCATCTGTACCCCAACTGTTTCCCCCTACGTTATTTTAAAGCAGGTCCCCCACATCATGGCGTCTCATCCGTAAGTACTTCTGTAGCATCTCTAAAAGATGGGGACTCTTTTCAATGACAACCACAATGCCACGATCACCCCGAAAAATGGACAGTCATTCCTTAACACCACAGAATATCTGGTCAGCATTCAAATGTTCAATTGTTTTTTATAGGTATGCATTCTCTTATAGTTTGTTTGAACTGGGATCTAAATAAAGTCCACATGTTACAGTCTTTGAAAACGATCCCAAAATAAGAAATACAAAATATTTTGAGGGGTGGTCACTCACCAGAATATGTGTCCAGCTTCCTAAATGACAACCCAGAAGAGGCCGACATTCATTCAAACTGTGTTTTTAAAGAATCAGTTTCTTTTCTTTCTATTGTACCCAAATAGTGCTTGATTAATGGGGACTTTTTTTCTGACAGCCCACAGACTACTTATAGAAAATACTAGTTGTTGAAACATTAAATTTAATATTTTCTCTTTGGAGTACTTGAAGAAGTTAAAATAGATGTTGGGGGCAGGGGGCCCTGGGTGGCTCAGTTGGTTCAGCTTCCAACTTCGGCTCAGGTCATGATCTCACCATTTGTGGGTTCGAGCCCTGGGTTGGATTCCAAGCTGACAGGGACAGCCTGTTTCGGATTCTCTCGCTCTCTCTCGCTCTCTCTCTGCCCGTCCCCAACTCGTGCTTTTTTCTCTCTCTCAAACTAAATAAACGTTAAAAATAACATAAAATAGGTGTTAGAATTTGCAATGTTCATTAGATTCACTTAAGATATGATCTATTGCCTTCAAGAAATAAAGAAAGAAAGGCAACATGTTAAAGTTGGCTGGAATCTTTAGCAGGCTCCACACTTATCATGGAGCTTGACTCCGGGCTCTCTCCCACAACCCTGCAGTCATGACCTCAGCCGAAATCCAGAGTCAGATGCTTAACTGACTGAGCCACCCAGGCGCCCCTCATTATGGGGTCCCCTCTAGTTTTTTTCTCTGCAGTTTATCTGTTGAGGAAACCAGGCCGCTGGTCCAATAGAGTTAACCCGTCGATGTCTGCATCCTGCTGACTGCATGTCCCCCCGGTGCAGTTTTCATTT